GGGAATTCTTGCATTTTGGGTTTCCCTTCCAATTCCTCAGAAAAAGAGTTATGGCAAAAGTATAGCTAGATTCACCGCTAATAAGGAAAAAAAAATATGAAGGGATGCTAGGATTTAACTACCCAATTTTTTAACATTGCATACACCAATAAAGAGCACAATGTCTCCTAAACACAGTATGTTACTACGAATCTGGAATGCTATGGATATAGTGAATTGTCTAAAGTATAAAGAGGTGGAAGGAATATCCTCTACTTAAAAAGTATTAGAAGGTGTTTTTTTTTTTTTAGGTATGTGCAGATTTCATTAGTATCACAAACCATTGAAATTACACACTGAAAGAAAAGAACATTTCATGCAACATATTGTATAAGCTTCAGTCAAGTTTCAAAATGAAGAGTATCCTGTTGCTGACAAATACTATTTATCACTTTATTCATGAATCTGAAAATGAGAAACCTCCATTATTACTTTAGGTATGCAGTTAAATAAAAATAACCATTTTAATTTTATAATCCCAAACAAGTGATGCAAATATTATGACTTGCAATTAGATACGAAAACAAAGCAATAGTAAAACTTAAAATCACTACAGTTTAATAAAATAGAATTTTAATTACCTTTACTTATTAGGAGTCCAGAAAGCACTGTGCTAATTATCTTTCAACTCACTTTTTTCATGTAATAATGTGAGAGTTTATGGGAAACGAAGCATTTAGCGACAGCATATGAGTTTAGGCAATGGCCATTTGGAATCTGGAATGTTGCTGCTCTTTGCTTTTCTTGTGACCTGGGATCTTATTAAATGACCCTATTAAAATGATAACATTCTGTAAGACATATATAGTAGTAGCCAGAATTGTGGAAACCTTTTGGGAAAAATGTCACATTTATCACTATTGAGTAATGTAAGAACAAAACTGTTACTCCTGTGTGTCAAAGGAAAGCAAGTGGACAGCTATCATCTAGAAGCAAAATCCAACAGAATGTGAGAGATAAGCCAGACCAGTTCTCTCAAAGGCAAAGTGTCAGAGATAGCAGACTCTCATCCATAACAGAGAGGGGTCCTATTTCTTGGGAAGCAGCTGACTTGCGCTCCTTTTCAAGTTTTCTTCTTTCTTAAACAAAGCACAGCGTAATAACTAGTGGGGTAAATGAACTTTTGTTTTTGCCAGTCTCGATAGCAAGACAAATTATCACAACTATGCTGCTTTCTCAGCTCAGCATAGGAAAATGACCCTCCTATGAAATGCTATACTGTGTCAGGGACACTTACAAGTAATTAAGATTTGTTATCAGAATGGATTTACTGCCCAAGGAAGGCCTATATGCCATGCAATACCCCCACTCTCAACTCATAAAGCAAGAAACAGATTCTTTGGGAGAATATTTTCTTAAATTGCATCATTAAAGTTAGTCCTGCTTACGCTGCCTCTGAACACACTCAAATACACAGAATTAGCCACACTCACACCACTGTAAAATTCCAAGGGCCTCCAAGTTCAGTATAAGATCAGAACTGGTATCCAAGCTAAAATAATGTAAGAGAGATTACAGATGAATTGGTTAATGGCTTAGTAGATTCTTAAGCTTGATGAGCTCCTACTCAACCACATGTTGCTCCAACCTTATAGCCATACTGCCTCCTGGAAACCAGAAGATAACAGCCATCTCAATACATTAGTGGCCAAAATTGGGGAAACCTTTTGGAAAAAGTGTATTTTTGAGGTTTGATTGCTAATGACAAAACTTTTTTTTTATTCGGAGTTTCAAGATAATCCTATTCCACTGCTGGAATGGCCTGGGAATAGCCCAGACCTTGACCCAATTGAAAATCTATGGAGCCGACTAAAGGAACTTGTTAGTCAGAAGCGACCCAGCAATAAAACCCAGTTAATAGAAGCCATCCTTCAATCAATTTTGGTTTCACATTAGAACAGCTGCAGAACTAAAAGGCTTGGTTCACTCCATGGGAAGACGTTGTAAGGCCATCATTCATGCTAAAGGTTACCCAACTAAATATTAACTGACATAGTGATAATTTTTGTATATCTCATTTTTTCTATGGTGATCATTTTTGTATAACTCATTTTTTCTATGTGTTTCACTTTTCTTCTTTATACCATAACTGCTATTCTAATAGCAAATCATTCATAAAAGTTATTGCATTACATTCTTGATTAAATTATCTTCCATTGATATATAATTTTAGGATACTCCTCCAAAAAGAGTGGTGTTATTAGCTAGTTTCAGAAAATACATTTCTACCTGAATTAAGCCTCCAGGACAGTTTTGTGAAAGAGAGTAGAACAAACTTTTAAATATCACAAAATTAGTATTTAAGACACGTATCGAGGACCTGACTGGAAAGGAAGGTGCACAGAATCAGAAGTGGGTGATAAATAAGATTTTTCCTTTCCTTCTGAGTCAATTTTCTTCTGAAAACAACTGTTAAAAGAAGGCAATTATCTTTTGTTCAGAAATTATGCTTCAGCCAATGTGGTGAATTTCACAATTCACATTGCCTCTTGATTCCAGGGCTGTCGTGTATTGCATGCAATACGTATGAGATCGGAATGTGTCTTTGGGAATAATGAAGAACGCTGTAGCGGTGTTACAGTAGTACTATATAAACTCTGCCTTATATAAACTTTTTTTAAAAAAGAAACTTCTTTGCAGTCTGTAACATCAATAACTTCCTTTTTTCTCAGTGTGCAGTTTTAGAGCGTCAGGTCATGTTGGGCAAAATGTATTCATTCCTTTATGAATGCCAGAAGCTTTCGGAGTCTATTTATAGTATTCAATAATTTGTAAAGGTTAAATGTAATCCAGACTGTAGTGTTAGCATTTTCCCTGCTGATATCACAGAGTAAAAGACTGGCAGCCTACCCTTGTTGGAGGTTTGGGAGGGCTAGCAGCTTTAGACTGCAGAACCATGTATGGTTAAGTCCATATAAGTATCCACCTGATTGGTTAGACAGTAAAGATAAGTACTGTGACAGGTGTTGGTGAAAGCTACACCTGTTTTCTCAATGTGGGCTGATTTAGTGGGAGTTCAAGGCACTGAGGAGGGGAGAGAGGGGCAGAATATTATGCCAAGTAATCCGAGAAGGAATTATTTCCTAACGGTGCCTTATGATCTTTACATGAATTTGATTGTGTTATGTGAAATGCTGAGAGCACTTTGATGCTGCTGAGGGGAAAAAAAACCCAAGCCAAATGTTGCTTTAAAAGTACTGTAGCTTCTAAAGTTTAAAAGTTGTTATGGAAATGCAATAGGCCCACAAAGTGAATTGGTTTTAATTGTTCTACTTGTCTCGAAGAAGTACCAAAGCAGGGGGGATATTATTTACACATACACACATACTTTTTAGGTTTTAAAACTATTTGTTTCAACAAAAATGAAAATTTTGTTTTTTAAAAAAGTCAGGATATTTAATCACTGCTACACTATTGGTAAGAAATTGCAAGCAATAATGAAATGAGAGCTATGTGTTTTGCTCTAAAATGTAAAAATGGAAAACTTTCTGCTAGCAGTGTCCCAAAAACTTTGTCTTAAATGTACAAGCTCACTGTGTGTGCCTTTCAAAATAAAAGATTGAGGTTTCCTTTTTAAAGGTAAAATGGACATACTGTGTTCCTTTCAGGATTCTCTTTGTACCTGTAATGAATAAGTATATTTGATAATGCATTTTTGGTTTGGTTTGCTGGACTCATGGAACAGGACAAAAAAATTGGTCTGAGATCAGAACATACTGTCATATCTTTGAGATGTTAAGCTTGTAGCTCTTCTGGCAACAAGCTTTTAACTAGTGCTTAGAAAGTAATTTCTAAGATGAAGACTGCTTTTTCACAATGATCGTCTTCTGAGGAACAATTGCATTTTGCAGGACATTATGGAAAATGTGAGACTACCTTTAGTGTATGAGACCATACATAATTTTAATGGAAAGCTTATTACAAAATGTTTGAACAGTCAACGTAATAGTGATTCTGTAGACTTATAAACTGTAGAGGTTTGCACGGAGAAAGAACCTGGAGTTTAAGCTGCTTCAGTCTTTCTATTGAGTGTATTATCGTCCAGAAATCACCTATTTACCTATTCAGAAGTGAGGTGAACACTCATTTACCTACTCAGAAGTGAGAAGAAGGGTAGCTTGTTCCATTTCTCTAAGAGTTTGCATAATGAATGGTGAAGTGAACAGCAGGTAGGAAGGGGTTAAGAGCCTCTTTCTCTTGCTGTTTTTCCATTCCAGTTCTCAGACTTATTTGGCATTAAAATAAATAAAAGCAGAGGGAAGAGTAACACAGAATGTCTTGTAACAAGCTGTTTGATGCTCGAGATCTCTTGAAGCTAAAATCATAGCACAGAGCGATCCTTCATGTACCTTACCTGATAGAGGGAAGGCAATCTCCTGCCCACTCTTGTCCTAGGACACAGGTTCAGTTGACACAGGGAACACCTGGACTGCTCATAACTCATTGGAGATTTAAATTGCAGATGAATACCACTACTAATAACGAAATGCGTTATTCCTAATTTCCCATTGAATTAGTTTAAACTTTTTTTTGTAAAGTATGCTGGAAATTTGGGGGGGGGGGAATGGGGAGGTTACCAAGGAGATGGGGAATTATAGTTCTGTTACAAATGTTGAAAAGTTGTAGTGTGTTAAGAAACCAGTATTCCTGTGGCTTTGGCTGTGCAACAGTCGGTGCCCTCTTAATGCAGCTTTGCAGTTGAAATGACAACAACATGGCAAGTGTAGTATTTCCTGTGTGTGTGAATTTTCCAATTGTATTTCAGACTTTAAGAAAGAAAGGCCTTAATGGTTGTGAGAGCCCAGATGCTGACGATTACTTTGAGCACAGCCCACTCTCGGATGACAGATTCAGCAAACTAAGTGAAGATAGTGATTTTATTTTCAAGCGAGGCCCTGTAAGTACTTCTCTTGGCTCCTACTTTTTATTTGTTGATTCTTTTTATTAACTTCATTATTTAGGCTCTGAACAAGAAGGAAAACAGAGGGTGCGACAGCCCAGACCCTGACACTTCCTATGTGCTCACGCCACATACAGAAGAAAAATATAAAAAAATTAATGAAGAGTTTGATAATATGATGCGGAATCATAAAATCGCAGTGAGTACTGTGGTATGCCTTGCGCTCTTGTTACATGCATGAGAAGATTTTGTGATACCACCTTCTGTGGCTCTTTCGGCTTGGAAAGCAGAAGTACCTCTCTGAGGTGTATGTCCATCCGAGGTAGAAACCTTGAATGGTCATCATTATAATCCTATTATGTAAATTCTGCTGAGCGATGCAGTTTGAGTGCAACTTCTTTGGTGTAGAATGCAGCAAGGAAAGCCTGGGAGCTGCTAAGGAAACTGTACATTTCAGTAAAAAGTTTCTAGCCCTCACGAGAACTTAGAAATACATAAACCTTTGGGGTATCTCCTGATGAACCTGAAGTCATAGGCCTGTGGACGGATGAAAAACAATTCTCTTTTTTTCTCCAAGAGAGCATCCATAACATTGTTTTAAGTTTATGGAACTGTTTATGTTAAAAGAGTGTTGCTTCATAATCACACGGATATGTATGTTTAAAAACATGTTGTTACAGATCTGTTCTTAGTCACTTTTGGTGAGATGGTTGGCTGTACAAATTTGATCAATAAATAAATACATCTAACTGACAAACTCTTAACAGAGGAGGAGGCCCTCTAGTGCACCTTGTAGGCTAAAGTCCTCATTCATGTACTTATGTAATTACCCAAATTGTGCGTATTAAATCATTAGTTACTTAGTTTTGTCATGACATATAGTACAATTCAAATGCATGATACCTATCAGACTATAAGAAGAAAAATGTCTGTCCTAAGGGCCTTAAAATGCCAAAATCCCATACAGCCTAGGCAAAATAGGGGAAACTTGATCGTTATATGCTTGGCTGGACTTAGAGTGGAATATATAAACTAAGGACTAAAGGCTTCATGTAAAAGATGAGTTTTGAGGAAGAATTTGAAAGCCATAAGGGAGCATTATAAATAGAGGGGCTTATAAAGTTTATGTACTATGTGTAGATGACTTTAGTGTAACATTCTTTCAAATACATTCCTTCCACAAGCTAATGTTTGCTTTCACACACACGCACATGCACGCACGCGAGCGCGCGCACACTCACATACACATGAATACTGTTACAATATAACACACACTAACATTTTATTAGCCTCTCGGCAACTTTTAAACTTTCAATGTATGAAATCAAATTTATGTTCAACTGTTAAAAAAAAAATATTAGAGAATTTTTATGAATAGCCTACTTTTATCAGCATGATATTTCTGATCATAGCATTATAACTTACTATTTGTGGGTTCTTTTTTTTTTTTAAAAAGCCAATATGTTTTCGTTGTTGAATGTTTGCTTGAATGTAACATGTGAATATCAATTAACCTATTTCATGTCCTACTTGCAATGTTGAATAAGCCATTTCTAAACTGATGAATTTGAAGGAATTAAAAGCTCTTAACTAATTTTGAAACTTTTGAATAGTCGTATGTAACAGATGCCAATACTTTGCATTAAACAATAAATATAACCAGTGTATTTCACAAATATCAAAGCTAGCATTTTAGCACTTGATTGCAACTTAAGATTTCAAAAGTTGTACTTTTCTGTCTCACTTAATTCCCCTCCCCCCTCCTTTCCAGCCTGGGTTGCCTCCGCAGAACTTCTCAATGTCGGTCACTGTTCCTGTATCCAGCCCCAATTCTTTAAACTATAGTAGCCCTGGGAGCTCTCTTGTATCCCCAGCCTTGGCAGCAAGCTCTACCTTGACAGATCCCACACTGCTAACTCCTCCTCAAGCTTCGTTGCATCGAAATGTATCACCTGGAGGGCCTCAGAGACCCCCAAGTACAGGTAGCGCAGGTAAGACTTATTTGACAAGTCTATAAATGATTTCCGACAAATTCCACCTTGTGCTACCTCTGTTCAGTATATAACATGGAACGTAATACATATATTTTTTTCATTCCTTAACTAGGTGGAATGTTGACCACCACCGATCTCTCAGTGCCAAATGGAACTGGTTCTAGTCCAGTGGGTAAGTTTTAAAATTTTGTATTTTCACTATCACAAAAGGGCCAATTGGTTACCTGGTACGTGAGCGCTTTCTAAAGAAAGCAAAGCTTTCACGGACAACAAAATTGCTTCTTTCTCCAGTGTACTGGAAGGCCAATCCAATCGTGTGGGTTGTAGACTTCTCTTCCGCTTTGGAGACTGAGTCAATCAGATCCTTGATCCCGCCTTCTCCTACTGAGCATGCCCAGAATTTGACTCAGTCATCGAGCGAAGGAGACATGCGCGAGGGTGCTGGTGCAAAGAAAAGTGAATTCAACAAACTGCAAGCCTGGCTCCGCGTGAAGCCATTCACACACTGTGAAAAGCTAATGTTTTCTGCCTTGTACGGGCTGCAGCAGTGCAGTCCACGGGTGCTTGTTGAGGGGGGGCAGGTGTGTAACAAAGGAACGCCGTGCCTGATTGAGAGAGGCTGGAGGTTTGCAAGCTTTTGGGTACCTGAACCAAAATAAGTATGTGTGCTTAAAAATGGGTAGCTTGAAGTTTAGCCCATTGATTTTTGTAAGACATTGCCCTGTCTTCATTTTGATAGTTGGGTGCTTCTTGTGGGCCAGGGGCTTTTTGTTTTTGTCACAGTACAGGATGCATAACTTTTGTACATATTAATTAAGGAGAGCAGCGATCAGCAAAGAGAAACAGAATCTGTGAGCTTTCATGTGAGCTTGAGTTTGAAGGGTGATTATTTTTTTCCCTTGGTACTTGTTGACAGTGGGGAGGTGTGCTGTTTGATGCAGTCAGTGTGGAGGCATCTGTGTTCCAATTCTCAAATTACCGGAAGATGGCACGAACACCTGCTGCCAATGTTACTTGCCTACTCCTAGTATCCCTTGGTGGTGAAGGATCAGCTAGCCTGGAATGAAGAGCGTAGAATCTCTCTTGGGAAAGAGATTGATCCTTCCTGCCATTGATATTCAGAAACAGGTCTTTGGGTGTATTTACTGTAGGTCATGTATAAGGTTGGAAGTCCTTTGGAAAATACTGTATAAGACCCTGTCTTACATTTTTTTGAACCCTGAAATAAGCGCTTGGCCTTATCGCCATGCGCTCAAAAGCCTGATTGGGCTTATTATCAGGGGATGTCTTATTTTGGGGGAACCAGGGTATATACATATATAAATGTAAAACTGAGGTTATGTTTGACCCATCGGATGTGGGAAATGGAATTCTTTAAAGCGTTTTATAAAACTGGTTGATTTTACCAACATTTTAGATTTGAGCCTTCTGTATATCTGAAGCTATACTTCATTAAATGGTTATGCAATGATTTGTTAATTCAAGCATCAAAAGCAATCAGGCCTTGAGTGTTTGCATATGCTTTGGGTAATTTTTACAACAACTTTAAATACACAGTAGAATTATTCTCAGATAGGAATTAGATATGGAGGGGTAATTTATCTTATGTAGTTTAACGCTTATGTAACTTAGGTGAGATTTCAGTCAGAGCATCTACAGTTGCTATAGTCTTTTGCAGAAGATAGTGGCTGTGTTAATATATGTTGCTAAGTCATAACATGGCTGGTACGAATTTAGCATGAATCCAGCCATTATTGTTTGCTCCATACCCTGGATAACAAGTTCATAAATGATGATTTGCCATCAATTAAATGTTTTATTCAGCAAAGTCTGAACATAAATTTTGGGTTAGTATGACATATAAAGGGACACGGTGGCTCAGTGGCTAAGACACTGAGCTTGTCGATCAAAAGGTTGGCCGTTCAGTGGTTTGAATCCCTAGTGCCGCATAACAGGGTGAGCTCCTGTTATTTGTCCCGTCTTCTGCCAACCTAGCAGTTCGAAAGCACGTAAAAAATGCAAGTAGAAAAATAGGGACCACCTTTGGTGGGAAGGGAACAGCGTTCCGTGAACCTTTGGCATTGAGTCATGCCGGCCACATGACCACGGAGACGTCTTTGGACAGCGCTGGCTCTTCGGCTTTGAAACGGAGATGAGCACTGCCCCCTAGAGTCGGGAACGACTAGCACGTCTGTGTGAGGGGAACCTTTATCTTTACGACATATAAATCAGGCAACATGATGCAGGTGGCCATGATACAAATCAGGAAGAAGTATCAGGCCTGCATGCTCACATTTATTCTCCATATTGCACAAGCTATCAAGTTGAGCCGCGGTGGTGCAGTGGTTAGAGTGCAGTACTGCAGGCTACTTCTGCTGATCACCAGCTGCCTGCAGTTTGACAGTTCGATTCTCACCAGGCTCAAGGTTGACTCAGCCTTCCATCCTTCCGAGGTCGGTAAAATGAAGACCCAGATTGTTGGGGGCAAGAGGCTGACTCTGTAAACCGCTTAGAGAGGGCTGTAAAGCACTGTGAAGTGGTATTTAAGTCTAAGTCCTATTGCTATTGCTATCACTACCTGTTGGGTTCAAAATTGTAGCTTAAAATTTAAATAACATTTCAGACAGCACAGAGTTGAACTTTATGCTAATTGGAAACATCACGCTGACCAAGGAAAGAGAAGAAGAGAGTGTGCTTTATGGGAGTCTGTTGTGAGTTCTTGGCGCACTATTCATTAGTTAGCCAAACTTCTGAATCTGACTGATAATTCTACTAGCTTTTCTAGCTCACCAAAAGTGCAGTTCTTCTCCTTTTAAACAGTTAAAGTTGGACCCAGAACAAAATTGGCAACCAGTGAACAATGACTGGTAACATCACTGGCATCCAGCTGTTGGGAGTGAGTTGGATAGGAAGAGAAGGAGGCCCTGCCACATTTGAAAGACAAATAGGTTCTAATATAGAGAACTAACCCAGCCTTACATATGGCTGCTGTGTAAAATAACAATAATAACAATATCACAAAAGGAATCCCACTCTATGCTCAGGCATCCATTTCCTGGAATTATCAGATCATCGGTTCCATTTAAATATTGATCCTATCTGAATGTTACCCTGATAATAAATAATACTTAAAATCCACTTCATGGTATAAAATGCTTGTACATTTTATTTATGATGAACCCTAAAACAGGAGTAGGGGGCGTGTACTCCTCCCCTTCCCCCCATCTATTGTCAATTTACAGTGCTCGTCACCTCTCATCATTCACCTTGCTGCCTGGAAGGTTATACAGTATTATTCCTTGATCATTTGGATAAAGGGTAATTTCAATCTGCTTTAAACAAGTGCTCAGGCCCTGGTACCCTGCCAGCCATCTTCACCCTCAGAACAATCGGCATAAACATTCACATCAGCCTTGTGAATGAAGTAAAGGAGTTAATTGCGATTATAAGGTTTGAGGAAGAAAAATAATTTTAAAAATTGGGTGAAATGAAGTACTTACTTGAAGATAAACTGGCAAACTCTGTAGAGTTAGTACTCAAATTGCACCCCAAATTTCTTATTACTGAGCAAGACAGTTGTTAAGTGTCCCGTTTTATGACCCACTACATGGATGGTTTTAAGTTGAGGGCTGCCTGTATAATGATGCTTTGCACTGTTACATTTTACTTGCTTACATCTGTGTCTTTGCTTGGAATATAAAACAGCAGGAACAGATTTCATCCATTTCATGTGAAAAAGCCTAGCTAGATAAATAGATAGTTCAGGCAAAGTCAATATGGTTCATACATATCCTCCTAGTCTTCCCTCCCAGGGCAATTATGCCACTGGAGTTTGGTGATAGATATAGAAGTATGTTGGCAAAATGAGGGAGGAAGTAGTTAAACCAAAACAAGCCTCTAGTAAGAAATCAGCTAGAATTAATGCATCTATTTTACATTAACAACAAATACCTTCATTGCAGGATCCAATCTGGGTCGGTCACCAGGACCAGAGGTTTTGTCTTCTGAACTTCTGGACTCGTGCTGGAGCCCATCCTCAGGGAACTTCTCTCTAGGACACACACACACTGCTATCTGGGTCACTCACCAGGGCCAGAGGTTTTGTCTTCTGAACTTCTGGACTCGTGCTGGAGCCCATCCTCAGGGAACTTCTCTCTAGCAGTGTGTGTGTCCTAAAGAGAAGTTCCCTGAGGATGGGCTCCAGCACGAGTCCAGAAGTTCAGAAGACAAAACCTCTGGTCCTGGTGAGCAACCCAGATAGGATAGCAATAGCACTTAGATTTACATACAACTTTACAGTGCTTGACAGTCCTCTCTAAGCGGTTTACAGAATCAGCATATTTGCCCCCAACAATCTGGGTCCTCATTTTACTGATCTTGCAAGGATGGAAGGCTGAGTCAACCTTGAGCCTGGTGAGATTCGAACTGCCAAATTGCAGGCAGCTGGCAGTCAGCAGAAGTAGCCTGCAGTACTGCACTCTAACCACTGCGCCACCACGGCTCAAGGATCCTGCAACGTTAACCCGGGACAGTTATATTTGCCTTCATTTGTAATACCTTTGTTTTCCACAAATGAAAGAACAAGATCATCATTTCCTCTTATATCATTAGCATATACTTGCAACCTTTGGAAGGGGAAAAACACTCTCAAAAGCTGTAAAATATTTGCCCTTTCTTACAAGAGCTCTTTCGTGCCTTTGGGCCTCCAGGGTAACTTAGAAGAGCTCTCTGTTTGAAGGATTCGCTTGTCACTCGTTCTTTGGCTTGAATTGGCAGAAGGAGCAACGCTCCTGTGTTTGTAGAAGAATGTATTGACACCACCCCCAATAAACAATCCATCACGATTAATATCAACCACAGAGTAGGAAAAGGTGCCATATGCTGTGTCTAAACAACAAAGCTTAAGAAAGAGACATTTCATTTGGAACTTCACGGCATGAGAAATCTTTTCCCAACAAATGGATAAAACCAGGCAGCTTTTGAAGTTGCTCTGATTTAACCTGGTTTTTGATTGCTTAGAGATAAGGTATTCAGGCAAATGTGTGTTTATGTGAACCAGATATTTTGTTCTGATCCTTAGCACAAACTGCTTCAGGAGCCCATTGGTTTTTTGTTTTTTTTTAATCAGAGAAGCAGTTTAATGATACATACCATTTAATTACCAGTTTTAAC